CTGGGGGTCCTCACAGAGCGGGAGGAGCGAGAGAGTCTCGGGGTCTCGTTCATAAAAGCTCCCCTTCATGACATGATCACCCCTCCTCCGCCACCATCCCCACGAGGGCTTGCGTTTCGACAGGTGGACTCGGGGTGGGGGACATAGACGTTCAGCCACAGCGCAGATCAACCGGCGATGGCGCCCGGCCGGCGCGGCTCAGTGGTTGAGCATCGACCTAGGAACCAGGAGGTCACAGTTCGATTCCAGGTCACGGCACAGGCCCGGGTTGCGGGCTCCATCTCCATCGTATAGGAGGCAGCCAATCAATGATACTCTCTCATCATTGATGTTTCTCTCTCTCTCTCCCTGTCCCTTCCTCTCTGAAATCAATAAAAAAATATACATTTTTTTAAAAAGGAAGGTGGATATCTAGCATACATTAATGGAGCATTTTCTGGGGGGAAAAGTTAACTTGAAATTTTGTGGGGCGCTATGCAGTACGTACACGTAAATTTAATGACAACATTCCTGAGACAGTACACATGGCTGACCCTTTGCTGCTAAACGCTTGAGTGATAAAATCAACATCGGTGCAGAGGAGATAGCACCCATGTAGCGTAAGGGACATAACATGCAGGTACGTCTGTTTAGCCACACGTGGCTGTCGGCTCAGAAGCACTAGAATGAGAATAAAGCTGACCCAGGACGGGGGAAACCACCTTCACGCGTCTGTGTCCGGGGAAGGGGCCCTGGGGGCGGACCCCACGCTGGCCTGGCGACGGCGCGCGGCCCAGGTTCTGCTGGTGTCCTCCGGTCCCCCACCACCCCAAGCCGCGGGCTGTCTCCCGCTGTGCTGACAAAGTGGGTCACTGTGGCCGTGGTGCAGACATGAGGAAGCTGAGGTCAAGCATGTGACCAGAGTCACCCGGTGGCAGGGGCCACGTCCCAGCAGGTCTTCCCACCCCAGCCCCTGAAAGGGATTGTCCCCCAAAGGGGGGGGTGTGCTGGGGAAAAGTGGCCGCAGCGGGTACCACGTGACACTGCTCAGCCTGGGGGGGGGGGCTGCCTGGCCGTGGACTGGACTGTCCTGTGGTGTCGGGGGGCTGAGGGTTCAGGCCACAAAACGGTCGTCATTCAGCGACCGCCTGACTCAGTGGATCACCGACTCAGCCTCTCCAAGGCCCCCAGCCAACCGCTGAGTCAGCGCTGCCTCCGTCCGCAGCTTCCCTTCCGGGAAGGCCCGGGCCTGCTCTCCGGCACCAGCACCCAGGAGGTCTGCTCCGGGCACTTCCCTGGGGCCTGGGAGTGTGAGCCGGGCACCGGTCCTCCCTCAGACCGGGGCTTCGGGTGCTCACAGGCCGCAGGTCCCTGGACCTTAGGGTGCTGCCTCCTTGAAAGACCCTGGCCGGAGGGCCCCGAGCGCCCTCCCTCCGTCCTCATGGCCTCACACCCACCCGGAGCCAAGAGCAGGGAGCCTACATCTGCAATGCCCACGGCCTGCCCAGCTCACCTTGGTGTCCGAGCCGTTCTTCCAATATTGCATGTGATAAAGCCAGGAGCTATAAATGTTCTTCATGGTCCATGTCTCATGTTCATTCTCAATTCTCGGGGCCAAGAAAAGTATGTGTAAGGAATTAGCCAGTGCCTCCACCTGCACGCCAGGAGGTCCGATAGCAGCTGAGGATGAGAACAAAGCACAATGAAACGTCAACATTTAGTTTCCATAACCGTGCAGACCCGTTGGTCTGCTCTTGGATATACCACTGCTCTGACACGGACTGCCGTGGCTAAGGAGGGCGGCTGGATTTTGGTTCTGAAAAATAAATCTGACAACCTTGGCTTTTTTAATCATTTTGGTTCATCTATATTTGTTATAATTTCTGATGTCTTCCAAACTATTCCAAGCACCTTATTTTGTGTTTCCTGTAAAGACTGTGTCCCCCCCCCCCCCCCCCCTGGCTTACTAGGTTGAATTGACTTTATCTCCTTGGCTGGGTTAGAAGCTACAGATGGTATTTCTGCTATTTTTAGTGTTTAACAGATACAATTAACCACACACGTTTTCCAATGGAGCCTGAAGTTGTTGCCTTCCAAATGCTTTTACTAGACGTGCATAGGGCTGGGTCTCAGCTCCAACGCTACCTCCAAAGCCAGAAGCTGCCCCTCACAGAAGACTGCTCCCCCCGCCTCCCATGTAAAGAGCAGCTCCACCACCTCCCGCCCGGGGGCCTTGCTTTATTTTCCTGACAGCCACGGCCACTCTGTCATAAGACATGTGCCTAGCCCGGCTGGCGTGGCTCAGTGGTTGAGTGTCGACCTATGAACCAGGAGGTCACCATTGGATTCCCGGTCGGGGGCACCTGCCCGGGTTGCGGGTTCCATCCCCAGTATGGGGTGTGCAGGGGGCAGCCGATCCATGATTCTCTCTCCCTCTCCCTTCCTTTCTGAAGTCAAGAAAAACATATTTAAAAAATACGTATCTATTTGTGTGTTATCTGTCTTCCCCATTAGAAAGGAGGTTCCACAGGGCAGGATTTCATCACTGTCTTGCTCACGGCTGCGGCGTCAGTCCCGGGAATGTGCCTGACACTCGGCAGGCGCGCAGGAACGACGGTAGAACGAATAATGAACATAATGAACGGCTCCGGGCAGCCCCGCTGTGCGTTCTAGTCTGTATTCTTCTCCGGCTGCTGTGGACGGGCCTGCTGCCTGCATCCTACCCCACTTCTAATCTGCTTGCTGGTAGCTCAACACCAGACATAAAATCCCATTCGCTGTTTTTCCAAAGCAAGCACACACAGGCTCCCCACGACATCTGAAGCATTTTCCTATCATATACACTCTGAGAGGCAAATGCCCAATACAGGGCACTTGCTGCTAGAAGCGGGGTGCAGGGGCCTGGTCGGAACCCTTGCTCCCTCACTCTCACCTCTGTGACCTGGATAAGCTGCTTCTCTATTTCTGTATCTGCCCCCAAAGGGAACTTCCAAAGCAAGATTCTCTCAAACAGCATCTGTAACGAGTCAGGGCCCGGCAGGTCGCCTCGCAGGGCCAGGAGCAGAAACCGTGCGATGTTCTGGAGACCTGACTGCCGACAAGTGCCCTGTACTTTCCGATGACCACGTTTTTCTTAGAGTTAATAGAGCGTCGACCTATGAACCAGGACGTCACCATTGGATTCCCGGTCGGGGGCACCTGCCCGGGTTGCGGGTTCCATCCCCAGTATGGGGTGTGCAGGGGGCAGCCGATCCATGATTCTCTCTCATCATTTCTGTCTTTAGAAAAGATAATATAACTTGAATAATTTCTGACTCCAGAAATAAGAGTGTTTTTGGGCAGCCTGGGGACTGGGGAAGGGCGGAAGGACATCCTGGCTGCCTTCCCTCCCTGAGTGAGTGGAACTGGGGGAGCCCCCAGGGCCCAGGGCAGGGGGTGCTATAGAGACGACCCTCCTAAGTGTGTCTCCGCGCCCTGGAAGGCTGCGCTTGAGTCTGTTCATCAGGCCCCTGTAACCTCCCGCAGTGGCTGCACAGTGGTTTAATCAGTTTCCAATCCCTGAGGTCCTGTTACGTTCACCTCATGACCTCTGGGGGGCCCCCAGGACCCTCCAGATCGCACCTGGGCACCGTGTTTATGCTTCCCATCCAGCCTGACCCCACACACCTGCCATCTGCTGTGTCCACTGCTCCGCCCTTCATTCTGGGCAAGTGGGCTGTCTGCACCTGGTCTCCCTGTCCCCACACCTGCCTGGAATACCTTTATTCTTGGTCTCTGTCACGGTTTTTTAAGTCCTAATTCCAAACTCACTTCCTCCCAGAAAATGTCCTACAGTCATGCACCGCCTAACGGTGTGTCGGCCAATGACGGGCCACATGTATGGCCGTGGCCCTTTAAGATTATAACGAGCTGAAGATTCCCATCGCCCAGTGATGTCATAGGCAGCATGATGTCATAGAGCAACGCGTTACTAACGGGTCTGTGTGATGCTGGTGTCAAAAAACTTTTTTAAAAAGACTGATACTAATATTATTTATTTATATATACCATTATATACTTTAATTGATTTCAGAGAAGAAACGAGAGGGAGAGAGAGATAGAAACATCAACAATGAGAATCATTGATTGGCTGCCTCCTGCACACCCCCTACTGGGGATCGAGCCTGCAACCGAGGTACATGCCCTTGACTGGAATCGAACCTGGGACCCTTCAGTCTGCAGGCCAACGCTCTATCCACTGAGCCAAACCGACACATTTCTCAGGGGTACCCCCTGGCTCAGCGGTGCACGACTGTACGTTAACCATCCAGGTCTTCTCATGAACAGCCCTGGCCCCCAACTCTTCTCACCTTGAAGGCACCCCGCTACTACATTTCTTCTTAATTCCCTTACCGACTTTCCGCCTGCCCTCCCGTCTCTCCCAGCAGCTTCTTGAAGGCCACAGTCCTCTCTGCTGCGTCTTCCCCAAGTTCCTGGCACAAGGCCATCCACTCTGTAGGCGCCCAAAGGATCCTGGCTGACGGGCAGCCGATGGGGAAAACCCCAAGGCGTGGCGAGGACATCGCAACGAAACCGAAAGCAGGGCGACTTACTGTCATCGATGGGACAGAAGGTGATGTTCACCCAGTCGGAGTGCTCGTCCCCTAGCTCGGCCCGGACGCGCAGGGTGTGGTCGCCGTACTTGGAGAGCTCCGAGAAGTCGCACGCCGTGGCCGCGGTGGCCACGCACCTGTCCTGGAACTTCCTGTAACTACAGAACAGGAGACAGGACGCCGAGGCTGTAACTCACCGACAGGCGGCCGCCCGCACACCCCCCGACTGGGGATCCAGCCGGCAACCCAGGCATGCGACCTTGACCGGAATCGAATTGTGACCTCCTAGTTCACAGGTCACCACTGAGCCACGCCAGCCAGGTGAGCAAGCAAATTCTTCATCATCAATGTTGACGACTAGGATGCATCATTTATGAGCATGTCACACACTGAGTCCCATGGGACGTCGATGCTCCTAGAGCAGCAGTTCTCAACCTTCTGGCCCTTTAAATACAGTTCCTCACGTTGTGACCCAACCATAAAGTTATTTTCGTTGCTACTTCATAACTGTCATGTTGCTACTGTTATGAATCGTCATGTAAATATCTGATATGCAGGATGGTCTTAGGCGACCCCTGTGAAAGGGTCGTTCAACCGCCAAAGGGGTCGAGACCCACAGGTTGAGGACCGCTGTCCTAGAGCTATTTCAAATATGGTCCATTCCAGCCTGGTGGGCGTGGCTCCGTGGTGGAGTGTTGACCTGTGAACCAGGAGGCCTAGGATTCGGGGTCAGGGCACGTGCCCAGGTTGCGGGCTCAAGCCCCAGTAGGGGCCCTGCAGGAGGCAGCCAATCAATGATTCTCATCATTGATGTTTCTATCTTTCTCTCCCTCTCTGAACTCAATAAAAATATGTTTTTAAAAATGGTCAGTCCCAGCCCTAGCCAGTTTGGTTCAGTGGATAGAGCGTTGGCCTGCGGAATGAAGGGTCCTGGGTTCGATTCCGGTCAAGGGCACATGCCTGGGTTGTGGGTTCGATCCCCAGTAGGGGGTGTGCAGGAGGCATCTCTCATCATTGATGTTTCTTTCTCTCTCTCTTTCCCTTCCTCTTTGAAATCAATAAAAATATATTTAAAAAAAGAAAAAAGGTCGGTTCCAGGGTCAAACAATTTGGGGCAAAAACGGGGTTGAACGTGGAGAGGTGCCTGTGTTCACAACAGAAGTTCTGAGACAAGCATCCCACACATGTGACGAAGGCAGCCCCCTCCCGGTTGTGCGCTCTGAGAACGGGCACACGGCTGTGCGAGGTGGACGCCCACGGATCCGCCGCAACAACCACATGACAGTGATTTCGAGTAACGTCCTGAGCGTGACTTTGCTGTGATCTCCCTGGAAAAATGGGAAACGATTGGTTGACCTCCGCTCCCCGCCCTGACACCAGCCACGGAGGGGAGGGGGGCCGACAGGCGAAGTGGCAGAACAGGGGTGTTCGGGACCCCCCCCAGGTGTGTGACTTCTCCTCCCCGCAGCCCCGAGGGGAGGGGCACTGAGCTCCACCTGCCCGAGGAGAGCCAGGCTCTGTCCCGCCGGTTCCTCGCCTGCCCGCCCGTCTGGGCGCCACAGCTGGCGAGGCTGCGCTCGGACGTGACCAGGAAGCTGCTGATAAAACTGCCGACAGCTCACACCTGTCGCACTGGTGTCAGCTGAGCCCTGGGTGTGCTGGCCCCACCCCAGGAGGGCGGCTGAAATGGCCCCTGTGTCACAGGTGACGCGCAGGCGGGAGAACTGAGACGCGCCCCGCCGTTCGGAAAACCCCAGGGTCCTTTCATTACGGGGGTTTCCTCGCAGGCGGCCCCTCCCTCAGCTAAACTGA